AGGTATATAGAGACAGTCACAGGTAAGTAGGGGCTCCCACAGGTATATAGAGACAGTCACAGGTAAGTAGGCACACCCAGGTATATAGAGACAGTCACAGGTAAGTAGGCACACCCAGGTATATAGAGACAGTCACAGGTAAGTAGGGGCTCCCACAGGTATATAGAGACAGTCACAGGTAAGTAGGCACCCACAGGTATATAGAGACAGTCACGGGTAAGTAGGGGCTCCCACAGGTATATAGAGACAGTCACGGGTAAGTAGGGGCTCCCACAGGTATATAGACACAGTCACAGGTAAGTAGGCACACCCAGGTATATAGAGACAGTCACAGGTAAGTAGGCACACCCAGGTATATAGAGACAGTCACAGGTAAGTAGGGGCTCCCACAGGTATATAGAGACAGTCACAGGTAAGTAGGCACACCCAGGTATATAGAGACAGTCACGGGTAAGTAGGGGCTCCCACAGGTATATAGAGACATTCACGGGTAAGTAGGCACACCCAGGTATATAGAGACAGTCACAGGTAAGTAGGCACATCCAGGTATATAGAGACAGTCACAGGTAAGTAGGCACATCCAGGTATATAGAGACAGTCACAGGTAAGTAGGCACACCCAGGTATATAGACACAGTCACAGGTAAGTAGGCACACCCAGGTATATAGACACAGTCACAGGTAAGTAGGCACACCCAGGTATATAGAGACAGTCACGGGTAAGTAGGGGCTCCCACAGGTATATAGAGACAGTCACAGGTAAGTAGGCACACCCAGGTAGGTAGGTCCAGTTTCCTCATGTTGCTGTTATTGCTGTGTGACCTGATTTGGGTTTGTCTCCGTGTCCATCCGCTCGTCTCCCCCACCCCCGACCACACTGCATAGCCAGGAAGGTGACACCACTCCTCCCCAATACAGCTCCCTGTGTTCCTGAATGCTGATTGGTTGGTGTCTCCGCAGCAGGGGCGGACTGACCATTTGGAAACTCGGGCACTGTCCGAGGGCCCGGGGTCAGTAGGGGGCCCCATGAGATGCCCCTGGTACCTTTTTCATAGGCTTTTTTGAGTTTGGGCAAGGACACAGGGGCCCCATGATCCCCTATTGCCCGGGGGCCCCATGATCCCCTATTGCCCGGGGGCCCCATGAGTTGTCAGTCCGCCCCTGCTCCGCAGTGTGATGATGTCACCAGGCCGGCTGTGCAGCAGAGATGTGAAGGCGGGCAGAACGGAATATGGGGTCTGAAGAGCGGATGATGGAGGGCCATCTAGTGCCGTATAAATGGGTGACACCGCGTGGCCCCGTGCTCGGAGCGTTTCCTGTTCAGACAGCGATTATTCTCCGCCATCACAGTGACTGCCGCTCAGGAATGTGGAATTCAGAGCCAATCCTCGGCTGTGGCTGATTCACATCGACTCCATAACTTATCATATAGGAGAAGCCCTCCAACCAGCACCAACCTAGGACCTGTCTGACCCAGCACTACACTGGGGGGGGAGAGCAACATGGCGGTCTCTCTATGTCCAGATTCTCCTCTCGCAGTGCTGGACTTTCTGCTCATAATAATGCCAGGTTCTCCCCTCACAGTGCTGGACTTTCTCCTGGGCTGGGCTTTGACCTCACAGTCACAGAATCTCCCCTCACAAGGTTTTCACCCTACAGTGCTGGACTCTCCTTCCACATTGTCAGGCTTTCCCCTGATAGTGCTGGGCTTTCTCCTCATAATGCTGGGTTCTGCCCTCACAGTCATGGATTCTCCATTCACAGTACCGTGCCCTCTACTAACAGTGCTGGGCTTTTCTCCTCACAGATCTAGGCTCTGCCCCCAGTCATGGATTCTCTCCTCACAGTGCTGGGCTTTCTCCTCACAGATCTAGGCTCTGCCCCCAGTCATGGATTCTCTCCTCACAATGATCACAGTGCTGGGCTTTCTCCTCACACATCTAGGCTCTGCCCACACAGTCATGGATTCTCTCCTCACAGATCTAGGCTCTGCCCCACAGTCATGGATTCTCTCCTCACAATGATCACAGTGCTGGGCTTTCTCCTCACACATCTAGGCTCTGCCCACAGTCATGGATTCTCTCCTCACAATGATCACAGTGCTGGGCTTTCTCCTCACACATCTAGGCTCTGCCCCCAGTCATGGATTCTCTCCTCACAATGATCACAGTGCTGGGCTTTCTCCTCACACATCTAGGCTCTGTCCACAGTCATGGATTCTCTCCTCACAGATCTAGGCTCTACCCACAGTCATGGATTCTCTCCTCACAGTGCTAGGCTTTCTCCTCACACATCTAGGCTCTACCCACAGTCATTGATTCTCTCCTCACAGTGCTAGGCTTTCTCATCACACATCTAGGCTCTGCCCCACAGTCATGGATTCTCTCCTCACAATGATCACAGTGCTGGGCTTGCTCCTCACAGATCTAGGCTCTGCCCTCCCACAGTCATGGATTCTCTCCTCACAGTGCTGGGCTTTCTCCTCACAGATCTAGGCTCTGCCCTCACAGTCATGGATTCTCTCCTCACAGTGCTGGGCTTTATCCTCACAGATCTAGGCTCTGCCCTCCCACAGTCATGGATTCTCTCCTCACAGTGCTGGGCTTTCTCCTCACAGATCTAGGCTCTGCCCTCACAGTCATGGATTCTCTCCTCACAGTGCTGGGCTTTATCCTCACAGATCTAGGCTCTGCCCTCCCACAGTCATGGATTCTCTCCTCACAGTGCTGGGCTTTCTCCTCACAGATCTAGGCTCCTCCCTCCCACAGTCATGGATTCTCTGCTCACAGTGCTGGGCTTTCTCCTCACAGATCTATGCTCCTCCCTCCCACAGTCATGGATTCTCTCCTCACAGTGCTAGGCTTTCTCCTCACAGATCTAGGCCCTGCCCTCCCACAGTCATGGATTCTCTCCTCACAGTGCTAGGCTTTCTCCTCACAGATCTAGGCTCTGCCCACACAGTCATGGATTCTCTGCTCACAGTGCTGGGCTTTCTCCTCACAGATCTAGGCTCCTCCCTCCCACAGTCATGGATTCTCTGCTCACAGTGCTGGGCTTTCTCCTCACAGATCTAGGCTCCTCCCTCCCACAGTCATGGATTCTCTGCTCACAGTGCTAGGCTTTCTCCTCACAGATCTAGGCTCTGCCCACACAGTCATGGATTCTCTGCTCACAGTGCTGGGCTTTCTCCTCACAGATCTAGGCTCCTCCCTCCCACAGTCATGGATTCTCTGCTCACAGTGCTGGGCTTTCTCCTCACAGATCTAGGCTCTGCCCTCCCACAGTCATGGATTCTCTGCTCACAGTGCTGGGCTTTCTCCTCACAGATCTAGGCTCTGCCCACACAGTCATGGATTCTCTGCTCACAGTGCTGGGCTTTCTCCTCACAGATCTAGGCTCCTCCCTCCCACAGTCATGGATTCTCTGCTCACAGTGCTGGGCTTTCTCCTCACAGATCTAGGCTCTGCCCACACAGTCATGGATTCTCTCCTCACAGTGCTGGGCTTTCTCCTCACAGATCTAGGCTCTGCCCACACAGTCATGGATTCTCTCCTCACAGTGCTGGGCTTTATCCTCACAGATCTAGGCTCTGCCCCCAGTCATGGATTCTCTCCTCACAGTGCTAGGCTTTCTCCTCACAGATCTAGGCTCTGCCCTCACAGTCATGGATTCTCTCCTCACAGTGCTGGGCTTTATCCTCACAGATCTAGGCTCTGCCCTCCCACAGTCATGGATTCTCTCCTCACAGTGCTGGGCTTTCTCCTCACAGATCTAGGCTCCTCCCTCCCACAGTCATGGATTCTCTGCTCACAGTGCTGGGCTTTCTCCTCACAGATCTATGCTCCTCCCTCCCACAGTCATGGATTCTCTCCTCACAGTGCTAGGCTTTCTCCTCACAGATCTAGGCTCTGCCCTCACAGTCATGGATTCTCTCCTCACAGTGCTAGGCTTTCTCCTCACAGATCTAGGCCCTGCCCTCCCACAGTCATGGATTCTCTCCTCACAGTGCTAGGCTTTCTCCTCACAGATCTAGGCTCTGCCCACACAGTCATGGATTCTCTGCTCACAGTGCTGGGCTTTCTCCTCACAGATCTAGGCTCCTCCCTCCCACAGTCATGGATTCTCTGCTCACAGTGCTGGGCTTTCTCCTCACAGATCTAGGCTCCTCCCTCCCACAGTCATGGATTCTCTGCTCACAGTGCTAGGCTTTCTCCTCACAGATCTAGGCTCTGCCCACACAGTCATGGATTCTCTGCTCACAGTGCTGGGCTTTCTCCTCACAGATCTAGGCTCCTCCCTCCCACAGTCATGGATTCTCTGCTCACAGTGCTGGGCTTTCTCCTCACAGATCTAGGCTCTGCCCTCCCACAGTCATGGATTCTCTGCTCACAGTGCTGGGCTTTCTCCTCACAGATCTAGGCTCTGCCCACACAGTCATGGATTCTCTGCTCACAGTGCTGGGCTTTCTCCTCACAGATCTAGGCTCCTCCCTCCCACAGTCATGGATTCTCTGCTCACAGTGCTGGGCTTTCTCCTCACAGATCTAGGCTCTGCCCACACAGTCATGGATTCTCTCCTCACAGTGCTGGGCTTTCTCCTCACAGATCTAGGCTCTGCCCACACAGTCATGGATTCTCTCCTCACAGTGCTGGGCTTTATCCTCACAGATCTAGGCTCTGCCCTCCCACAGTCATGGATTCTCTCCTCACAGTGCTGGGCTTTCTCCTCACAGATCTAGGCTCTGCCCCCAGTCATGGATTCTCTCCTCACAGTGCTAGGCTTTCTCCTCACAGTTGCAGTGACCTCTCACCCCGTCACAGTGGAGTCCACCTGAGGTCACATCAGTCTTCACACATTTGGCTTCCTTCCACAACATCTGTTCCCCATCTCCTGCACACTCTTCCACCACCCTCCCTCCTGGGGTCCCTCAGGAACTGTCACCCTCTTCTCTCCCTCGGGGCCACATCCTGAGAGATCGGAGTGATGACAAGGCGGTGACACCTACAGCCTACAACCTGCCCCCCCGCTGGCACTTACCGTCATAGGCACAGAGCACACCATGAAGATGATGGTCATCAGCACCAACAGGATGAGATGCTCCAGCTCCTCTTCTCCGGCCCCGAGGAACCAGCCTCGAGCTCCAGCCCTGCGCAGCGACCCTCTCCGCGCCCTCTGACCTTTCCTCATGCGGCACAAGCTGGCGGTCACGGAGGCATTACACACCAAGATGGCTAAGATCAGCAGTCCGGTCAGCGTGGCGTAAAGCAGCGAGAAGGCCAGCGCTCCCCCGTTCCCAGCAGTGGATCCCACCGCCATCCTGATGAAGCACCAAGTTCCTGGACAGTACTGCTTGTGCTGACCCACACCGACCAGCGGCAGGGCGCAGAGCACCGCCGTTACAACGTAGGAAGTTGGCAGCGCCGTCCTGGCCAGGCGGCGCCCCCAGCTGTGCTGAGTGTAGATGTACGGGTGGCTGATGGCCAGACATCTCTCAAAGGCCATGAAGAAGAGGATCATCATGGAGGCCAGGTTGAAGAAGGTCATAGCGAAGGCGAAGAACTGGCACAGCGGCCACGATCCCAGCTCCAGGAGCGACACTTGCTGGGCGTAGGACACGAAGACCACCGGGCTCAGGATGCAGGTGCCCAGGAGGTCGGTGACGGCAAGTCCGGTGACCAGGACGCAGAACGGGGACGCCCGGGCTCTTCTCTCTCGTCGGTGGACCCCTAAGATGCCCAGGGCCAGCAGGTTTCCCAGGACTCCCATGGCGAACATCAGGGTGCTGGTGGCCGGGTTCCCGTCAGCGCGGACTCGCGTGGAATTCTCGCAGTAGTACTGCATGCCTTCGGGCAGAGATGGCGGGGTGGTTACCATTGGATGGTGAGGAACCCAAATTCTGCCTCTGAAAATCTGCTGGTCCGTCTCTGCACCTGCTTCCTCCTCCACCCCGAGAGACTCTCACTTCTGTGTCAGGACTTTCTCTTCCTCTTCTGCCCGCTGTGCTGCATGGCTCCCGCCCCGGCGTGGGATCTGCTGAGAAGTTTGCGTGTCGCTGCGTCCCCTCCGTCTGCCTTACACTTGACTCTCCTGCGCTGTGAACTGTCAGTGATCAGACCTACGAGAGAGAGAGCGAGCGGAGGAGGGGAGGGGAGACTCAGCAGCTGAGATAGACGCGGCCAGAGACTGCCAGGAGAGGTTGGCGCACGCCTTGTGTCCGCACCGGCACGTCCCGACTGGCCAGCTGGCAGAGGAAGAACGCCCGGCGTGCTGGGCGAGCGGCCAAACTTTGACTAAACAATGTCGCAAACGTGGCGCAACTTTTGTGTCTTGCGGAGGAACTGGTCAGCGTCCAACGGCAGCTTTTACGTGACAGTTATGTGACGGCCGTGCAATCAGCGGGACGGTCGTATTGGGCGGCGGATGACGTGACGCGGCGTTCCGCGAAGAGATAATGCCGGGCGGGGGAGGCATGAGATGACATCCAGGATGGAGTGTCTCTGGCACGCCGCGCCAATCCCGGGGAGGTGACGTGTACGCCGAGCGGGAGACGAGGACCAGAGACCGCCAGACGCGCTCATCTGTCAGCGTTGTGTGTATATGTGTGTACACTTTGTATATATATGCGTGCGACGCGCGATGCTGGTGGGGTGTCCGCCGCCGCCGGTCCTGTCCGCGCCCCGCCGATCACGGAAAAATCCATTGGTGGCGCAGAGCGAAGAATTGAGACGAGGAAATTGCGTGCAAAAAGGTTACAAATTGTGACAAAGTATCGCTAATGTCTTCATAGAGGAGCCCCGCCTACCGCTTGACGCACGAATGCGCCAATTCTAGGCACCCAAAATCTCTCCCTTCCCATCAGTCGTATGTCACAAGTAACGATTCTCCCGTTTGTGCCGCAGGAGCGCACGTTGCCCGCCGTCGCTTTCCCCGAATCTGGCATCCTACTTTGATGTCGCAGCGCGGCGGTCCGGGCTCTTATCTAGGGGCTCATTCACACTAAGACCCCCCGGCTGAGCCGTGGTTTTTACAGCCACCAACCGCCCCCCTTAGCTGCAGAGGCTTAAAGGGGTTACAGTAGGTGGTGTGGAGGAGATACCACACGCCTTCAATGTGACGGCCGCATTCATTTTCCTTTTGTGATCCTGCCACAAACGCACTTCCTGTCCGAGGATGGCAACCGTACTATCGTCACCCCAGGACTACATAACACCTCCCTCTCTTCACCATAGCGGGGGAGGTGTTTTGTGCAATTGGAGGACCTGCACTGTGGAAGCCGGGGACAGCACTGCCTACCGACTCCCTACAGACGATCCTCCCCGTTACTGCCCCCCAGGCCTTGTTCTGTACCTTGTCCCTGTGTGGAGGCGGCCATCTTGGTAGAGGCAGGGCTTTGCTTCCTCATGTCAGAGCGTCCCCCCTGATGACAGGTGATCCAATGACTGCTGATCTGATAACAGGTGATCTATTGATAGGTGATCTATAGAAAGCTAGTATATTGATGGGTGATCTGTTGATGGGTGATCTGTTGATATTGACAGGTAGTCTATTGATGGGTGATCTGTTGATGGGTGATCTATAGATGGGTGGTCTATTGATGGGTGATCTATAGATGGGTGGTCTATTGATGGGTGATCTATTGATGGGTGGTCTATTGATGGGTGATCTATAGATGGGTGGTCTATTGATGGGTGATCTATAGATGGGCAGTCTATTGATGGGTGATCTATTGATGGGTGATCTATTGATGGGTGATCTGTTGATGGGTGATCTATTGATGGGTGATCTGTTGATGGGTGATCTATTGATGGGTGATCTATTGATGGGTGATCTATTGATGGGTGATCTATAGATGGGCAGTCTATTGATGGGTGATCTATTGATGGGTGATCTGTTGATGGGTGATCTATTGATGGGTGGTCTATTGATGGGTGATCTGTTGATATTGACAGGTAGTCTATTGATGGGTGATCTATAGATGGGTGGTCTATTGATGGGTGATCTATAGATGGGTGGTCTATTGATGGGTGATCTATAGATGGGCAGTCTATTGATGGGTGATCTATTGATGGGTGATCTGTTGATGGGTGATCTATTGATGGGTGATCTATTGATGGGTGATCTATTGATGGGTGATCTATAGATGGGCAGTCTATTGATGGGTGATCTATTGATGGGTGATCTATTGATGGGTGATCTGTTGATGGGTGATCTATTGATGGGTGGTCTATTGATGGGTGATCTGTTGATGGGTAGTCTATTGATGGGCAGTCTATTGATGGGTGATCTATTGATGGGCAGTCTATTGATGGGTGATCTGTTGATGGGTGATCTATTGATGGGTGATCTGTTGATGGGCAGTCTATTGATGGGCAGTCTATTGATGGGCGATCTATTGACGGGTAGTCTATTGATGGGTGATCTATTGATGGGTAGCCTATTGATGGGCGATCTATTGATGGGCGATCTATTGATGGGTGATCTGTTGATGGGTGATCTATTGACGGGTAGTCTATTGATGGGTGATCTATTGATGGGCGATCTATTGATGGGCGATCTATTGATGGGTGATCTATTGATGGGTGATGTGTTGATGGGCGGTCTATTGATGGGCGATCTATTGATGGGCAGTCTATTGATGGGCGATCTATTGATGGGTGATCTGTTGATGGGTGATCTATTGATGGGTGATCTGTTGATGGGCAGTCTATTGATGGGTGATCTATTGATGGGCAGTCTATTGATGGGTGATCTATTGACAGATGATCTATTGATGGGTAGTGTTCCGTGTGTCCAATCTCAGCATTGATGGTGTAATCTCTGTAACTTACAGTTGTGATGAGATAGCGATCACTCCAACCTCAGTTGGATATCACAGTCAGTGACCCAATCGATAAGACATCTTGTAGATCTTGTAAAGTTTATTCCATAAACTGAGAGAATCTTACAACAATGAAATTCGATAGGTCAAAAGAACATGCTGTGTCTTGCTCCAGGCCATGAGGCTTGCTGCAATGCATCTCTGGGAAGGGGGAGGGCTATCTATGCAACATTAGCTAAAGGAAAGGGAGGAGCCAAGACAAAACACTGAAAACATTTAAAGGCATATGACAGTCATGTGAAACATGTCAGGTGATCTATTGATGGGTGATCTATTGATGGGTGATCTATTGATGGGTGGTCTATTGATGGGTGATCTATTGATGGGTGGTCTATTGATGGGTGATCTATTGATGGGTGATCTATTGATGGGTGATCTATTGATGGGTGGTCTATTGATGGGTGATCTATTGATGGGTGATCTATTGATGGGTGGTCTATTGATGGGTGGTCTATTGATGGGTGATCTATTGATGGGTGGTCTATTGATGGGTGATCTATTGATGGGTGGTCTATTGATGGGTGATCTATTGATGGGTGGTCTATTGATGGGTGATCTATTGATGGGTGGTCTATTGATGGGTGATCTATTGATGGGTGATCTATTGATGGGTGGTCTATTGATGGGTGATCTTTTGATGGGTGATCTATTGATGGGTGGTCTATTGATGGGTGATCTATTGATGGGTGATCTATTGATGGGTGGTCTATTGATGGGTGGTCTATTGATGGGTGGTCTATTGATGGGTGGTCTATTGATGGGTGATCTATTGATGGGTGGTCTATTGATGGGTGATCTTTTGATGGGTGATCTATTGATGGGTGATCTATTGATGGGTGGTCTATTGATGGGTGGTCTATTGATGGGTGATCTATTGATGGGTGGTCTATTGATGGGTGATCTATAGAAAGCTAGTCTATTGATGGGTGATCTATTGATGGGTGATCTATTGATGGGTGATCTATTGATGGGTGGTCTATTGATGGGTGATCTATTGATGGGTGATCTATTGATGGGTGGTCTATTGATGGGTGATCTTTTGATGGGTGATCTATTGATGGGTAGTCTATTGATGGGTGATCTATAGAAAGCTAGTCTATTGATGGGTGATCTATTGATGGGTGGTCTATTGATGGGTGATTTATTGATGGGTGATTTATTGATGGGTGATCTATTGATGGGTGGTCTATTGATGGGTGATCTTTTGATGGGTGATCTATTGATGGGTAGTCTATTGATGGGTGATCTATAGAAAGCTAGTCTATTGATGGGCGGTCTATTGATGGGCGATCTACTGATGGGCGGTCTATTGATGGGCGGTCTATTGATGGGTGATCTATTGATGGGTGATCTATTGATGGGTGGTCTATTGATGGGTGATCTATTGATGGGTGATCTTTTGATGGGTGATCTATTGATGGGTAGTCTATTGATGGGCGGTCTATTGATGGGCGATCTATTGATGGGTGGTCTATTGATGGGTGATCTTTTGATGGGTGATCTATTGATGGGTGATCTTTTGATGGGTGATCTATTGATGGGTGATCTATTGATGGGTGGTCTATTGATGGGTGGTCTATTGATGGGTGATCTATTGATGGGTGGTCTATTGATGGGTGATCTTTTGATGGGTGATCTATTGATGGGTGATCTTTTGATGGGTGATCTATTGATGGGTGATCTTTTGATGGGTGATCTATTGATGGGCGGTCTATTGATGGGCGGTCTATTGATGGGCGATCTATTGATGGGTGATCTTTTGATGGGTGATCTATTGATGGGTGGTCTATTGATGGGTGATCTATTTATGGGTGATCTTTTGATGGGTGATCTATTGATGGGTGATCTTTTGATGGGTGATCTATTGATGGGCGGTCTATTGATGGGTGATCTATTGATGGGTGATCTTTTGATGGGTGATCTATTGATGGGTGGTCTATTGATGGGTGATCTATTGATGGGT